GTTCCCCTGGGAGGCGTGTGGGGTGGCTGCCAAAGCATCACAGCACCCAAGGCCGTCTGTGGAAGAGAGGAGGCAGAGGGCACTGGGCCCTGGAAGGGGAAGAGGAGACGGAAAGGGCAGGGAGGCACAGACCCGCTCTCCTCCGCAACAGGCCAGGCCTGGCTGTGGCCACCAGCCAATGGCCCATGGGCGACGGAGGCCGTCACAAACCCAAATGCTAACTGAGGAGGAGAGACACCTCATTGCAGCTCTATGGTGGGCACCTTGTCCCTAAGCCCACCAAAGCCATGTGCTCCCAGAACCATAGGCCAGAACTGCCCTAGTTATGTCAAGGGCTGAATCGGTCCCAAGTAGAAGCTGCAAAAACCTGACCCCTCTCAGAAGCATATGCAAATCAGATGCCCCCCACGCCCGCTTCCCACCCTCTGCCACCTCCCTCAGCGTCAGTGCTGTGTGAGTGGGGTACGACAGCTGGTTTTTCTGAGAGACAGGTGCTTAGGGATGGAGACTTCACCTGCCTATGTGCAGCCGGGAATGCTGGGAGCAGGAGACATTGGGAGGAAGGGAGGAAGTGAAAGAGATTGCAGGAAGGTAGAGCTGGGAATTTCTGGAGAGGGGAAGGAACTCTTGGCCTGCTGGGAGTGAACCAGGCCCCACTCACCAGCTCCTTGAGCCTAGAGGGTTGCCCACCCCCATCCCCAACCTGGCGAGCTGAAGGTATGGATGGGGGCTAGAGGTGCCCAGTGGGTAATAACCAGGCTTTACTGGGGACCCTGCTTCGGGCCAGGCTCGGTGTTCGGCATTCTACACTTATTGTATCTCAGCTGATCTCCACCACAACCTGGAAGGGACTCGAGGCAATTCATCTGAAGACGAGAGCCTTGTGGTCCAGTCCCTACCTGGGGACACGCCACCATGGAAAGGCTAGGTGACAGGCATGCTCGCCTGTGGGGAATGGAAAGTGCTAGAATCTCCACGGAGCTTGCTTTGGCCATAGGTATCAAAATGGTACGTGTTCCTGCCCTTTACCCAATGATTCCTCTACTGAAGATTTGTCCTGTGAAAAATACATAGGGGCATACAAGTACCTACTGAAGCATTATTGATTGTAGCAAAAGATTGGACACAACAGAAAAGTCTAGCCCCAGGGGACAGGTTAAATTAAGGTACCTCCACGGAACAGGTTATCATGCAGCCATTAAAAAGAATGTGGTTCGAGACTATCCTAGGCAGCATAGTGAGACCCCATCCCTACCAAAAATAAGTAAATAAATAAATAAATAAGCTGGGTGTGGTGGCACATGCCTGTGGTCCCAGCTACTCTGGAGGCTGAGGTGGGAGGATCCCTTGAGCCCAGGAGGGTGAGGCTGTGGGGAGCCATGACCGTGCCACTGCACTCCACTCTGGGTGACAGAGTGAGACCCCAAAGAAAGAAAGAAAAAAAAAATGTGGCAGCTCACCGTGTGCTGATGCAAATGTGTCCCTAAATCTACATCCACATATGAAGGCTGGCAGCTCGGGAAATAACCTGGTGGCCCTGGTTGCCTGCAGGGAGGGGGACTGAGGACAGGGGTCAGGGGCAGGCGGAAAATCCAATTTTTTCCGCACATCCCTTTGCGTTGTTTGACTCTTAGACCATGGAAAAAATAGAATTTTATAAATGAAGATGAAGAAATGCATCTGTAAACGATACAATAGTAATTCACGGAGAGGCAAGCATCACGGGGGGGTGAATGAGCGTGTGGGGCTTGGGGAGCTCTGCCACTGTGCCGTGTGACTTTTTGTCCCTTGCCACAAAAGCCCCACGAAAGTGCTGTGGTGGTGGCATCTGGCCTGTGACCCACCAGAATTAGGATGCTACCTGCCCCTATTCCTGTACCATTCACTGCAGTGTCCAGAGTCTTGCTGGATTCTAAAATACTGAAGGCAAGGCGAGGTGGCTCACGCCTGTAATCCCAGCACTTTGGGAGGCAGAGGAGCGAGGATTGCCTGAGCTCAGGGGTTCGAGACCAGCCTGAACAACATGGAGATACCTCGTCTCTACAATAAATAAAAAAAATTAGCTGGGCAAGGTGGTGCATGCCTGTGGTTCCAGCTACTTGGAAGGTTGAGGTGGAAGGATCACTGAGCCAGGAAGGTTGAGGTTGCGGTGGCCATGAGTGTGCCACTGCATTCTAGCCTAGGTGACAGAGTGAGACTCCAATTTAAAAAAAAAAAAATTGGCTGGGTGCAGTGGCTCATGCCATATAATCCCAGCAGTTTGGGAGGCTGAGGTGAGAGGATTGCCAGAGTCCACGGGTTCAAGAACAGCCTGGCCAACTTGGCGAGACCTCATCTCTACCATAAATCAAAAAATTAGCAGGGTGTGATGGCACACACCTGTAGTTCTAGCTACTTGGAAGGCTGAGGTGGAAGATCACCTGAGCCCAGTAGGTTGATAAATATATAAAATGAAATGAAATGAAATGAAATATAAAAAATAAAATAAGCCGGGCTCGGTGGCTCAGCCTGTAATCCCGCGCCTTTGGGAGGCTGAGGTGAGTGGATTGCTGCAGGTTTGAGACCCGCCTGGGCAGCGAGACCTCATCTCTACAATAAATCAAAAAATCAGCCGGGCGTGGTAGCGCGCGCCTGTAATTCCGGCTACTCGGAAGGCTGAGGCGGAAGGATCGCCGGAGCCCAGCAGGTCGAGGCTGCGGTGCCCGGGAGCGGCCACTGCGCTCCAGTCTGGGGGACATAGTGAGACTCCAACTCAAAAAAATAAAAATAAAAATAAAATAAAATAAAACACTGGCAGGATGTGGTGGCTCAAGTCTGTAATCCCAGTACTTTGGGAGGCTGAGGCGAGCGGATTGCCTGAGCCTGTGGGCTTGAGACCAGCCTAGGCAACTTGGCGAGACCTTGTCTCTACAACAAATAAAAAATTAACCAGGTGTGGTAGCGTGCACCTGTAGTTTTGGCTGCTTGAAAGTCTGAGGCAGAAGGATCACTGGAGCCCGCAGGTCAATGCTGGGGTGGCTGTGAGCGTGCCACTGCCCTCCAGCCTGAGTGACGGAGTGAGACCCCAACTCAAAATAAATAAAATAAAATAAAATAAAATACTGAGTTCTAGGCCAGGTGCAGTGGCTCACACCTGTAATTTCAGCACTTTGGAAGGTCGAGGCAAAGAATTTCCTGAGCCCAGGAGTTCAAGACCAGCATGGCAACTTGGCGAGACCTCGTCTCTACAATAAATCAAAAAAATTAACTGAGTGTGGTGGCACTCCTATGGTTCCAGCTACTGAGAAGGCTGAGGTGGAAGGATCTCCAGTCCAGCAGATCAAAGCTGAGGTGGCTGTGAGTGTGGACTGCACTCCAGCCTGAGTGACAGAGTGAGACTCTGACTCAAAAAAAAAAAAAAATGAAATAAAATGCTGAGTTATAGGCCGGACTTGGTGGCTCTCGCCTGTGATTCTAGCACTTTGGAAGGCTGAGGAGGGAAGATTATTTGAGCTCAGGAGTTCAAGACCAGCCTAGGCAACATAGTGAGACCTCATCTCTATAGAAAAATAAAAAAAAAATAGCCAAGTGTGGTGGTACACGCCTATAGTTGCAGCTACTCGGAAGGCTGAGGTGAAGTGATCACCTGAGTCCAGGAGGTTGAGGCTTTGTTGATCTGTGATCATGCCATTGCACGCTAGTCTGGGCAACAGAGTGAGACTCCCCCAACTAAAAAAAAAAAAGTCTCTGAGCCAAGGGTCTAGAAGCAACAAATGGCATGCCTACAGTTCTCCCTAGGGTATGCACCCAAGACCCTCATGGGCATGGACTGGGGTCCAAAGCAGGAGAGAAAGAGATGTGGCCCCCTAAATTGTCTGTGCTGGCGGAGGATCTGGGAGGAAGACACACTCCTCCAGTTACTCCCCCATTTTACAGGTAAGGCATCGAAGGCTAGAGAGATGACTTCGTTGGCTGAAAGACAAAGAGTTAACAGCATGGCTGAGGTTGAATTACAGTCCTCTGACACTCCGTGATGCTCATTTTATCACCTGGTGGGGCGGCCATGATGCATCTGTTCTAGAAGCTTTCAAAAACCCTAACTTAGCCGGGCTCGGTGGCTCAGCTGTAATCCCGCGCCTTTGGGAGGCTGAGGTGAGTGGATTGCCTGAGCCTGTGGGTTCGAGACCCACATGGGCAACTTGGCAAGACCTCATCTCTACAATAAATCAAAAATTAGCCAGGCGTGGTAGCGCATGCCTGTAGTTCCAGCTACTTGGAAGGCTGAGGCGGAAGGATGGCCGGAGCCCAGCAGGTCGAGGCTGTGGTGGCCGGGAGTGGCCACTGCACTCCAGTCTGGGCGACAGAGTGAGACTTCAACTCAGAAAAGCCCCACAAAACTCTAATTTGGTGTCTTTGGAGAATTTCTTTCTTTGTGTTTCTTTCTTTTTGAGCTGGAGTCTCACTCTGCCACCCAAGCTGGAATGCAGTAGCAAGATCATGGCTCACCACAGCCTTGATCTCCTGGGCTCAAGCAATCCTTCCACCTCAGCCTCCTGAGTACTAGGACTACAGGTGCGTACCACCACACCAGGCTAATGTTTTGATTGTTTTTGCTGAGACGGGGTCTTGTTATGCTGCCTAGGCTGGTCTCGAACCCCTGGGCTCAAGCAATCCTCCTGCCTTGGCCTCCCAAAGTGCTGGGATGACAGTGAGCCACTGCGCCGGGTCCCTTTGGAGATTTTCTAAACTGAGTGGGTGCTGAGTGGAAGGGTTCTGGTTCCCTTTCCTCTCATCAGCCGGAGCAGTGTGCCCTACCCATTGGTGATTTTACTGGGGGAAAAAATGGCCCCTCTGTTATAACAAAGAAAAGCCGGAACTCTGTTTTTCCTTTACCTCCTCAGTTCCCTCTTGGCTCCCGCCACCGCCCATGCGCAGCCACTGCTGGGCCCCCGGCAGCCTGGGGCTCTGTCTGGACTGAGTTCTACCCAGTCAAGGCCTCTGTTGGAGCCCCAGGGACTCACCTGGTACATCGGGGCCCGGATTGAGAATCATGAAGGCGTCCGACAGGCCTGCTTTGACGGGATGCTGGGAGGAGCTGATTTCCAGGACTGACATTGGGATCTGCAGCGGGAGAAGAGACTCCGTCACCTCCCAAGTGTTCTTGGGCCAGCCCCGGCTTCCCCTCTGAGCTCCAGACCCACCTGCCCTCCTGCTTCACCTCCTAGAGGACTCAGAGACGAATCACACCCAACCCGATGGCATCCAAATCCCAAGTCAGTCCCATACCACCTCCAGGCATGTTTCTTTCTGTTCTCCATTCCATGGAGAAAGGCACCTCCAGGAAGCCCAGAAACCTGGGACTCACCGTGTTCCCCCTCTTCCATTTATCCCCATCTAATCCATCTCCGCACTCTGTTAACCAACCTACTAAGTGGTTCTCAAATCTGCCCAACTCCTCCCATCGTCTGCCAAGCTGCCCCCGCCAGGGCTCCCCCAACCCCCAGGCCACTCTTAGGAACCGGACCACCCAGCAGGAGGTGCGCAGTGGGCAAGCAAGGGAAGCCTTGTCTGCATTTGCAGCCGCTCCCCATCACTCGCATTACCGCCTGAGCTCCACTTCCTGTCAGATCTGCATTGGCATTAGATTCTCACAGGAGCGTGGACTTGCTTGTGAAGTGCACATGCGAGGAATCTAGTTTGCTCACTCCTTATGAGAATCTGATGCCTGATGGTCTGAGGTGGAGCTGAGGCGGTGATGCTCACGCTAGGGAGTGGCTGCAGATACAGATGAACATTAGCAGTGAGGTTTGACTACATATCACCCCCAGCCCGTGGAAAAATTGTCTTCCACGAAACGAGTCCCTGATGTGGAAAAGGTTGGGGGCTGCTGTCCTAAATGACCCCCCATCATTCCCTTTGAGCCGCCAATCATCTGCTCTACACTGAAATCACAGTGACCTTTCTCAAAGGCCAATCTGTTGTTCCCCTGCCCTGTCCTGCCTCTCACTCGCTCCCTTCCAGCCATGCTGCTTTCTTTCAGTGCTCTGTGCCAGTCATGCTCAGTCCTGCCACAGGATCTTTGCATGTGCTGTTCTCTTTTCTGGAACACACTTCACTCTCCTCTTTGCTTGCTTAGCTCCTTTTCATCCTACAGATTTCAACTCTTTTCTTCAGGGAAGCCTCCCCCGGCCCCTGTCAAGGTGAAGGACCCTGTGAAAGGCTCCACTGACACCAGGCACCTCCATTTAGGAGTGCATGCCACAGTAGCAGTTCTACATTTATCCCTGTAATTACTGTTTATTTCCTCAACCAGACTTACAGCTCCATAAGAGCAGCACTTTGGGAGACCGAGGTGAGAGGATTGCCTGAGCCCAGGGGTTTGAGACCAGCCTGGGCAACTTGGTGAGACCTCATCCCTATGATAAATCAAAAAATTAGCCGTGTGTGGTAGCACATGCCTGTATTCCGGCTACTTGGAAGGCTGAGGCAGAAGGATCGCCTGAGACCAGCAGGTCGAGGCTGTGGTGGCTGTGAGCGTGCCTCTGTACTCCAGCCTGGGCAACAGAGTGAGACTCAAACTCAAAAACAAAAAACAAACAAACAAAAGAGCAGGGCCCACAAACATCTCATTAACTGCCACATCCCTGGCACCATGCCCTGTGCCTGGCACACTGCAAGTTCTTAGAAATAACTGCTGAACGAAGAAAGACTCCAAGATGCAGCTGTCTCTGCAGCTGGGACCACTCACCTCTTTGTAGCCAAAGACAATGCGGCCGTCTCGGTGCAGAGCAGCCTGGAAGGTGAAGCTGCCCCTGTCTTCCCGGCCTTGGAGGTAGACGTGGTCCCACTGAACAACAAAGACTGTCCCTAGGGACAAAAGCAGAGACCCGGCTGGATGGGAAGGGGCTGCACAGGACGGAGCCCTGCAGAAACAGCAGCCAGCATGGATGGGTCATGGGTTGGGTCCTTTCGGGAAGATGGGGACAGCAGGCAAATCCAAGCAGCAGGAGCTGGCTGGCCCACAACGCTGGCCTGGCTTCCAGGCTGGGAGGAGCCAGAGGCCCTGTCAGCCCTGGAGACTGTACTCCAACCCCAGGCATGCCCCTTCCTGCTCACCTATCCTGACCCCTTGAGACAAGAAGGAAAAATGTCTGTTCTCCTGGGGTGGGCGGTGCTCAAGAGACAACCTGGTGAGAGTGAGACACAGCAAAGATCCCTAACATTTAGGCTCACTTCCACTAAGAGCCAGGTGCTATTGTTTTGCTGTTGCTTAGGTTCTGCTGGGAAGTAGGCATTTGTCCCCATCTTACACAGGAGGACACGGGGCACAGAAAGTCAGGCAGCTGCCTGGCTGTGGGGCTGTGGGACTCTTGCCCTCTCTGGGCCTTGGGCTCCTGGAAAGGGGCTGGGCCTGGGGATCCCTGGAGCGGGGCGACTTTGGTTCTGAGCTCTGGCCTCACCATTGTCGAAGTAAGCAATGGTGGAGTTGTCTGAGTAGCCCGGGTTGAAGTTGGCCATCAGGGGCGCCACGTATTGAGTAGCCGTGAGCATCCGATGGATCACGTCGCCCGTGAAGATGAAGCCTGGGGCAGGAGAGGTGCATGGCAGTCACCAGAAATGGCCCTGAGGGGGTGCTTCTGGGGACTCCTCCCCAAGGGCCGAGGGTAGCCTGGACATAGCTGAAAGGGAGCCACGGCCCTGCTGCCCACCCCCGCCCAGCAGGCTCTGGGGCTGGCGTGTGTGGAGACCAGAGAATGTTTTGTCTGTTTCTCCAGGTGGGCTTAACCTGTAGGGTGATGTGGCAGGAAGAGGAAGTGATGCCCACCTTTCCTGGGGAAGTGGGAGTTAAGGTGGTCTCTACTTATCAACAAGGAGCCTGATTCCAGGAACCTGGGCTCTCAGTGAGGTCTCCCTCTCCTTCTTGTTCAAGGACTCAAAAACACAGGGACACAGGGCTGTCCACACTGACTTGTGCTGGCCTGGGGACAGACAGACCACACGCGCGCGCGCGCACACACACACACACACACACACACACACACACACTGGCCAGCTCATACAAGGAGGATGGTCTGACCTTCTCTGACCTCCCTTCTGAGCACTGGGTTCCCAAGAGAGTCAACCATGATCCCTCCTCAGTCCACCCTTAGAACTCTGTCTCCAACGAGGCCCCTCGGGGAGAGCCCGCGAGTCCAGCTGAGATGTCTAACCCTCCCCCTGCCCCACCAACTCGTCCTTACCTCCAGTTGCTATGGTGATCTGCCGCAGAGGATGCCCGTAGAAAGGGAAATCAAAGGACAAGACCACTCTCTGCAGGGGATGGGAGAGAGTCTGTGTGGGCTGAGCTGCAGGCCCGGGGACTGGGCACCCACGATGGACACAGCGGGGGCAAGCCCCTGGGAGCATCGGTGGAAACACCTGCTCCGGCTGAGCTCCACGGGAACCCCAGGAAGCCCCTCCCCGATTCAGACCTCAGGCCCCGCCATGCCCATGGACCAGGCAGGGTGGGTTCACCCTAGCCTCCCCGCCCAGGGCAGCTCTGCAGGACACTGGGGCACTCACCGAAGCCTGCCGGTGGGTGTTGGAGAGTATTCTGTGGACCTTCACGTGGCTCCGGTTGGCCTCAGCCACATCCACCCACAGTTCCTGGCTGCGGGGCTCGCTGGGACCATACAGACGGGACACATAGTAGCTGTGGTGATCTTCCTGTTGGCACCCAAGACATGCCCATAGGAGGCATGAGCAGTGAGGCATGCCAGGGACCACCCCTGCCCCTCCCCACTGAGACTTCTGGACACAAGAAGTCATCGCCCTCAGGGTCTCGGGCCTGTGACCCAGAGGGCTGGTCTAGGCCTGGGAGGCCAAACAGCTCACCTGCTGGCCCCCAGTCACGCCCCAACAGGTCACCCCAGCCAAATCCACCCCGGCTCTACTCTAGCTCAGCCTTGCCATTCTCAGACAAGCTGGGAGGCTTATCCTGCAGCTCCTGGCTCCCTTCAGAGCACGACCAAATCCAAGCCTGGCCTGGGGCACGAGGGAGGGACAGACAGGACAGCCCAATGCAAAGCCCTTGTCTTCAGGGAGCTCCCAGACCCAGGGGGAGACATAACTCTTGAGGAGTTCCCGATTTAATGGAAAAGGAAGAGGCTGAGCTTTGATCTTGGGAGCTGCTAGTCTGATGGGGGAGGTGCGACTTGTGTAAACAGAATCCACACAGACCCTCAAGCGGAGATGGTACAGAACCCACGACGCGGTCACCAGAGGCTTGAGAAAGAGGACATGAGTGGCAAGAATTCCTTCCGGGCGTATCTTTGGTTCTCTCCTGTTGCCCGATGGAGATCAAATAAAGAACAAGCCAGAACACTGTGGGCTGGGGGTTCGTCTTGCAAAGCCTCTCTCGCAAGGGACACGGGAGGCCGGGACTTAAGGGAGGCCAAGGACGTAGTTGGCAGAAAGACTGAAGAGCCAGGGCCGGGCAATGTGGGAGGCTTCCCGGAGCTCACCCAAGAGTGCCCCCAGTCGTAGGAGAAAGGGAGGCAGGGCAAGCAGGACCCCTGGCAGCCACTGCCACAGAGATGGGGCAGCTGACCTGTGGGGAGCCCAGGGCACCACGGGTCATTGATCAGGCTGCCCAGTGGTGGTGGCCACAGACACAGCAGAGCAAACTGTGTTCTCCCTGTCGAGCTGCCAGCTGCCCGGCCAGCTCTTACCCTGAGCCCAGCACTCCTCTCCTGCCAAAAGGCAGTCTGCTCTTCTGACAAGTGACACAGTTTGGGGACTTGGAGTCAGGGCAGGCTGAGGGAACCCGAGGGGAAACAACCTGGTGCGCAGAGTGGGAGAGGGTATCCTATTGCTGTGTGGTCCTCCCCTCCTGCCTCCAGACTACCCAGGCCTCTGTCTGTCCTTGGCATGGAGTCAGACCCATCTGAGACACTCGCCGGGCCACACTACTCTGCTCACAAGCCATCAGGGCTCCCGCGAGACACTGCCCCGAGACAAAACACAGCCCTCTCAGCCTGGCATGCAAGGTCCCACCAGGAACAGCCCTGTTTCCCCTCTCCCCTCTCATTCCTAGCACATCCTTGTGTCCCTTCCCCCAGGCCACATGCCAGTCCTCCTGCCTGGAATGACCACCCTGTTCCTTCAACACCCAGCCTTTTTTTTTTTAAGAGACTGGCTGGAGTGCTGTAGTATGACCTTGGCTCACTTTAGCCTCTACCTCCTTGGTTCAAGGAGGCTCAAGTGATCCTCCTACCTCAGCCTCCTGAGGAGCTGGATCTACAGGCATGAACTACCATGCCTGGCTAATTTAAAAATTTTTTTGAAGACGTGAGTCTCACTTCAAAATTTTTTTGAAGACACATTCACCAGCCTTGTTTTGGACTCCTGGGCTCAAGGGATTCTCCCACTTTGGCCTCCCAAAATGCTGGGATTGTAGGAGTGTGAGACACTGCATCCGGCCCAACACTCAGCTTAGACACCACCTTTGTATTGACTTTCTGTCTCTACCTTGCAAGGAGGACCTCCCCCCTTGAAAATGACCTCCACCATCCAGTATTTTTGGGAGTCTTCAAGCAGTGACTCGTGTGTACTATTTGTGAGAGTCACATGGGACCATCCTGGTTGGATTTCTGATTTTACTCATGAAGCCACCTCAGAGGGCCACCCTGATGCCACCACCCCAGAGTGAGAACAAGTTCCATGCCAAGGGTGCTGCGCCCCCCTGCTGCCACAGCCACCATCCCTGCAGTCCCAGGAGGGCGCCCAGAGGGGGATGCACTGCTCTCCAGCTCTGCCCACAGACACCGAAGCAGTCCTGCTTATGCCCAGAGCTCCCAGTCTCTCAGAGATCACAGCATCTGATGGTCTGGGAGACTCTGGGTCCACAGCCAGCTCAGATTCAGTGGGATTACCTGCCACAGCCATGGCAACAGCTCACCACGCCTCCCCCACCCCGACATTTAAACAAAAAAGCAGTTTATGAAGCAGAACCAGTTGTTCTAAAATTTTGTCTAAAGAAAGGAAGCCAAGTTTAGATGCTCAGCCCGTCATTTACATGTGTTTCCCCTTGAACTGTGAGCCCCTGAGACGCAGGGCTGGGCACAGTCACCTCAGTACCCATGGCTCAATCAAGGGCCTCAAATTCTCGGAACTTAGGAAGTGCTTGCTGGGGTAAACTGAGGCCAGTGCAGGAGGCCGCACCTTTCCTTTTGTCCTTTAATACAAAAATAAAGGATGCCAGGTGTGGTGTGGTGACTCACACCTGGAATCCCAACACTTTGGGAGGCTAAGGAGGGAGGATTGCTTGAGTGAGGGAGTTTGAGACCAGCCTGGGCAACATATTGAGACCCTGTCTCTACAAAAAAAAAAAAAAAAATTAGCCAAGTAGTCCCAGCTACTCTGGAGGCTGAGGCAGGAGGATCACTTGAGCCTGGGAGTTCGAGGCTGCAGTGACCCAGGAGTGTGCCACTGCACTATAGCCTAGGTGACAGAGTGAGAACCCCCCTACTCAAAAGAGAGAGAGAGACAGAAGAAGAAGGAGACTCGGAAGCTGGGGTTGGTGTTTTGTAGTGAGTTAAAATTTTGGAAATAAACCAGCCTCCCTAAATCCTGGGCTATCTTTTTATGATCTGCGTGTGACAAAGAAAGTGAGTGGTCCAACTTGGCACCAGGCAGCACGTCAGTCCTTTTGCAAGCTGTAGGGGGTTTAAACTGTGTTCCCACCCCCCAAATATGTTCAAGTGCGAACCCCTGGTACCTATGAATGTGGAAACATTCATTATTTGGAAACACAGTCTCTGCAGCTGGAATCAAGTCAAGATGAGGTCACATTGGATTAGGATGGCCTTGAATCCAATGATTGGTGTCTTCATAAAATAAAAGAGGAAGATTTGGATATGAAGACCCAAAGGACACAGGGAAGAAGACCCCAGGCCACAATGGAGGCTGAGACTGGTGTGACACAATTTATAAACCAAGAACACCAGGACTGCCAGGAGCTGCCATGCGCCAGGACAAGGTAAGGAAGGATTCTTTCCTGGGGCCATCGGGGAGCATGGCCCTGCTGAGAATGTACTCAATAGAGGACGCAGTGAACAAGGAGTGACCAGAAGAAGAGTTTGCCTGCCTTACGGGGACCATCACACATTCCAGAGACCAAGACAGGACCGTTTTACCAACTGAAGCCAGAGCAGGACAGCAGCAGAGGGCACACAGGTGGCCTCAGGTACACCTGGGAGTCACGTACAGCTCCCACCTGGGACCCTGAGCAGGCCCGTGTTGGAGATGGCGGCTTTGCGGCTGGGAGAAAGGTCTGGTTGCAATCAGCCTGCGTCCTGGGACCCGCACAAGGAGAGCTTGCCCCAAACCTCCAAGCATCAGAGGTGAAGGCCCAGGACAGAAGCCACGCTCTGCAGGTGTGAAGCCAGACAGATGCCGACAAGCCACCTGCCGCCTCAGCAAAGGGGAGGTGACTGCGACATGTTCGAGTCCTCTGCTCCACACAAGGACAAGCAGTCCAGTCCACGAGCCCAGCTGAGGAGCCGGGTCAGGGATCGAGTGCCTTAACCTGGCATGATCCTTGGACTCCTCCCTGGAGTCCCCAGTGAGGCCTCCAGGGGCACCTCTTAACTGATGCAAGGCTTTGTCTATTCTGACTCAAGGAGACTCCAGCATTTAAGGAGCTGCTGCCTCTGACTGCGAGGCTGAATTCTCTCCCATGAGCCAGCAGGGAGGATGGGTGCCTCAGTTCCTAGGAGGCCCTGTGCAGGCCAGGCGTGGTGAGGCCGAACTCTTGCTCTGGCCCCAAAGGTGCCAAGCACAGCCGGCCTGCCCCAGGAAGAACCGTCCCGGGGCAGCACCTTACAGACTCTGCCACAGGACCCAAGGAAATATCCCTCCCTGCATGCCTGACCTGATCAATTACCCAGGAAGCCAGGGCAGGCGTCTACTCAGAGCACTGGCTGGGAGAGGCCACAGGGGGCTGGGTGAGGCCAAAACGCACACTCTGGGAAGGGGGCAACTTGGAGAGGGGTCACTCCTGGGCATGGCCGAGGACAAAGTTCACAGGGGTGTGTCTGGGAGAGTGGGGGAAGGGAAAGGGGAGCTCACATTCATGGAACTATGGTGGTAGTGTGCTGGTGTTTTCTATTTATCTCTGCATGACAACCCTTGGATGTGAGGACTAATGTGAGTCCCATGCTCTAAGTGGGGAAACTGAGGCTGGAGAGCACATATCTATCAGAAAACAGGTCGGTTCCACTCAAAGACAGGGTTGTCTCCTCTGTCCACTGTCTCTTAGGTCTTTAAGCAACAGCTCCCCTGGAAGGGGACTCGGACCATTTGCCAGTCACTGGCTAAAATCTCTTGCATCATGGGACCGCCATGGGCTCCTCATGGAGTGTGGCACTCAGGGACAGAGTTGCATTCACCTCCTCAACCTGGAGCTCCTGCTTAGTGCAGGGTGGGTCACCTGGCATGCGGTGGTGTTTGGGGTCCTCTGGGTGACCCAAATCACAAGGATTCTGCAGTCATAGGTGCTGAATGTACAGGGTGGCTCTGACAAGGACAGTGTCCTGTCCCATATGTCTGACGGCAGGTGACACAAAGCCACTCGGGGAGGAACCAGTTGCTTCCTCTGGGAATCCAAGTCTGCAGAGGGCACTCCCGCAGCCGTCTGTCCTGGACGCAGGGTGCTAGCTCTAGAT